GTGAATAATAGATCGCGTGAGTTACTTGTGTGTTTATAGAGTGGATTTTTTTTTCTTACTTTTTTTCTTTTCTTTTTTTTTCTTTTCTTTGTTTCTTTTCTTTCTTTCTTTCTTTTCTCTCTCTTTCTCTTTTCTCTTTCTCTTCTCTCTTTCTCTTCTCTCTTCTCTCTTCTCTCTTCTCTCCTTCTCTCTCTCTCCTCTTCTTCTCTCCTTCTCTCTCTCTCTCCTCTCTCTCTCTCTCTCTCTCTCTCTCTCTCTCTCTCTCTCTCTCTCTCTCTCTCTCTCTCTCTCTCTCTCTCTCTCGCTCTCTCTCGCTCTCTCTCGCTCTCTCTCTCGCTCTCTCTTGCTCTCTCTCCTCTCTCTCGCTCTCTCCTCTCTCTCTCGCTCTCTCTCTCTCTCTCTCTCTCTCTCTCTCTCTCTCTCTCTCTCTCTCTCTCTCTCTCTCTCTCTCTCTCTCTCTCTCTCTCCCTCTCTCTCTCTCTCTCTCTCTCTCTCTCCTCTCTTTCCTCTCTCCTTTCTCTATCTCTATCTATCTATCTTTTCATATATCTATCCATTTTTCCATATATCTATCTATCTACTTGCCAGTCTTTCCATATATCTCTATCTCCCTATCTATCTTTCCATATATCAGTCTCTCTCTCTCTATCTTTCCATATAAACATTTTTTTTATCCTTTTTATTATCATTATTTATCTTTCCTTTCTCCGCTGTCTCTGTAATTTCAGTAATTTTATATCCGGGGAATAGATTTTCGTCGATGAGGGATGTGTGTCATTGAGACAGCTCGTGCCACCGTATTTTTTTGCAATATTGCAAACATGCGTCACCTTTTATGTGTATTATTAGCTTGTTGAAGTGTCGTTAATAATGGGTGTGAAACTCTCGCGCGTTTTATTGGCGTTATTTTTATCGTTCTTGTCATTAGGGATGGCGTTCTCAAGTTTTTTTTTATTGATAGGGTGATTATTTTTATTGTCTGCTTTTTTTTTTTTTTTTTTTGATGGGTTTGTCTGGTTCTCTTTCTGTGTCTGGTTCTTTGTGTGTCTGTCTGCTTTTCTGTCTTTCTCTTTCTCACTTTCTGTCTGTCTCTGAGTCTCTCTCTCTCTCTCTCTCTCTCTCTCTCTCTCTCTCTCTCTCTCTCTCTCTCTCTCTCTCTCTCTCTCTCTCTCTCTCTCTCTCTCTCTCTCTCTCAATAAGTATCTATTTTTTACTCTTATTTTATATTTGATGCTTTTTACCTTTTTGTGTTTGTTTTTCATGTGATCTCATTATTATGAAAAAAACTATTATTTTCTCGTATGCTGTGTCCAAAACAAGCTATATATATTTTTCTCTTAAATAACTTTGACGCTACTATAGATGACTAATTGCACGACTTTGAAATGGAAATAAAAACGACTGATATTAGTCATTTATGGTAGCGTCTAAGTTATTCTAGAGAAAAATATATATATAGTTTGGTGTTGGGAAACAGCATGCTAGAAAAAAATAGTTTTATTCACTATAATGAGAATACATAAAACACAAAATGGTAAAAGCCATCAAATATAAAGTAAGAATTAAAAGAAGAGATAATTATTGTTTGTTTATTTGTTGTTGTTGTCAGGTCACGAGTTCTTAACCGTTAATTATTAGAGAATTAGTTAATTTAATACATCTTAAAAAAAAAAAATAAATAAAAAAAATAAAAAATAAAAAAAAACATTTGTATGAAAAACATAACAAACGCAATATACAAAAGATAGCGAGAAGCCAAATCTGCCTTAACGACGGTTGTTGGTCGTGACGAGGTGGTTAGCGGTCGTTCCCGAAGACCTTGAGGGGAGGTGGGCGTGGTTTCGTCGTGGGTGATGGAGAGTGAAATAGGGCGAGGAGTCCCGTAGGGTTCGGAAAAGCTGCCTTAAAACAGGGTGGCATTTTTTATGTTGGTCTTTGTTATTATTATTGTTATCATTGTTGTTTTGTTGTTTGTTGTTTGTTATTTGTTATTATTTTTTTATTATTTTATTATTATTTTTTATTATTTTATTATTATTGTTATTATTATTATTATTATTATTATTATTATTATTATTATCATTATTATTAATGTGATTATTCTTATTGTCTGTGCTTTTGGATGACTTTGTCGCTTCTTCTTTCTGTGTCTGTTCTGTCTTTCTCTCTCTTCTCTCTCTCTCTCTCTGTTCTTTCTAACTCTTTCTCTCTCTCTCTCTCTCTCTTCTCTCTCTCCTCTCTCCTCTCTCTCTCTCTCTCTGTCTCTCTCTCTCTCTCTGCCCTCTCTCTCTCTCTCTCTCTCTCTCTCTCTCTCTCTCTCTCTCTCTCTCTCTCTCTCTCTCTCTCTCTCTCTCTCTTCTCTCTCTCTCTCTCTCTCTCTCTCTTCCTCTCTCTCTCTCTCTCTCTCTCTCTCTCTCTCTCTGTCTCTCTCTCTCTCTCTCTCTCTCTCTCTCTCTGTCTCTCTCTCTCTGTCTCTGTTCCTCTGTCTCTCTCTCTCTCTCTCTCTCTCTCTTCTCTCTCTCTCTCTCTCTCTCTCTCTATATATATATATATATATATATATATATATATATATTATATATATATATATATATCTTCTTCCCTCATGTCCTCGCTCTCTCTTTCCTCTTCTCCTCTATGTTCTTTCATTTCTTTTTTTCCCTGTGCGGCACATCCTTCATTTTATTATGTTCCTTTGAAACCTCTTCGTCTTTCTATTGTTTTCTTTTTCTTTCGTTCTTTTTCTCTATTTTTGTCTTTCCTTTCATCATCACATTCTCTCCGTCTCCCATTTATCTGGCTTTTCCCTCTTCCCTGATTGCTTTATTCCCTGATAGATGGACTTTGAAGAAGGAATGAAAGAGACGAAGAGATAATTAGAGAGAAATTGAAAAAAAGGAGGAGAAAGGCGAAAGAGAAGAGGGGAGATGAGAGGAACGGAGAAGAAAAGAGACAGCAAAGAAGAAGGGGGAAAGGTAGAA